CCAACTTGCGACCACTCGGATCCTTAGAATTAATAATATGAATTATTTTAATAGGGGTTAAAATAACCATTGGTAGGCTATTGATCCGACTAATGGATACTTCGTTATAAAGTATATAATAGAACAATAGCTACTGTCTCTGTACTGAATCCATTATTTTCTTAGATGCATATTAAATAATTTGGCTGTATGTAAGTTTGTAACACCCAGATTAGTTTCCAGATGTTTAGTTACAATTAGACTCAACAGATGGCGTAACAATCGAGTTACATTCCATAGAGGTTAAACATATTTTCTTTTTTAACAAAAACAGTCGTTTATATATTGAACTTTGAATTTTTTTACATTTTTATAATATCTATTTATGTTTTGTTAACTGTAGAGTTATGAGCAGAGTAATAGTATAATTATTGTTCGTTAAAACTTGCTTTACGATATTAGCCTTTATTGTTTAGAGTTGAAAGTTTAAAACGAAATAATTATTTAGGTAGGTGACATTATAGTGGCCAGTAGATCAATCTACTCTAATTCATCAAATATATTCATTGGATTGTCGACTTTATGTCAATACACCGTGAAATCTATTTCGTTTTCGTCTCGAGGCAAAACAACTTGCCATAAGGAATACTTTCGATGTTTAAAGAAAAAAAAATATATATATTGACGTCATTTTTTGTGTAAAAAATATCTAGTCGCATGAAACACTAGACGTAAATTTGTAGGCACTATTCGCATCGCACGTGCCACCCGACGAGAAAAAACTCTGAGAATTATATAGCGTGATGTTTTGATAATGTACTATGAGTTCGTATGCGCTTTCGAAGTTTGCTTTTTGGATTCACCAGTTACTTTTTGTTTTAAACATTTTATTTCTTGTTTTTATAATAACTATCGTGAGACATACTAAATTAAGTAAAATCGCGGGTTACTCACGTGTATATACTGAGACAAGCTCTACTAGTTTCGAACCACAGAGGAGTTCTTCCTCGTGAGCAGCGTGCGCGGTCGCGGCGACGTCGCGTCAACTTACGCCGGAGTTGGAAGCAAACGCTCGTAGTGTCCGACAGAGGGCGCGTTGGGCTCGCAGCGCAAGAAGCAACACCGAGGCAAGCGCCAACGCCAGCCAGTGAGCTCAGGGCCTCTAGCCAAACGCCACTTTAGCGCTTGTCTACAGAGAGAGTAGAAATCAAAATGTATGGGGATGACACTGACAAGTGTCAAAATTTACGTCAATTCCATATAATTTGGTTTTCTATTGTACATGTAGACAAGCGCTAAATGGCATTTGGCTACAGCTGCAGTATATTCACGTGAGTAACCCGCGATTTTAGTAAATTTTATTTCTTTGTAAAACTATTGTATTACCGAGACAGAACCATTCTACTTGGGGACGTAAACGAAATAGATATTACGGTGTATAATCAGGTTGGAGATATTTGAAACAAAAGGATTGACCTGCTGGCAGCTGTACAATGTAACATCAACTTTCCACCAATACGGTAGATGACTAATTATTATTTTAATGTCCGTCTGGTAGATTATTTAAAAACATTACACACGTATATTTATTTTCTTACACAAACGAATAGTTTCGAAGATATATTGATTTGAAATATCGCATCACGTCACTTTTGAGTACGATTTATACTTTAAAATGACGTAACTACCTCCCACTCCTAATCTTTGATTCGTGTTATCTAAGTATTGTTTTATTGTACAACAAAATAAAACAATACGTGTCTAATATTTTTTCGTTACCTAACTGACGGACTAATTACATTTTTAATTTTCATACCCAGTCATCATTCCTATTATGTTATGAGTGCCATGTAATACATATTTCATATCAAAATAATTATAACTATTACTCCACTCATACAATTTTGTTTTTGTGAATTAAAACTATATTTTATTTAGTAAACATTTCATTATATTGTCTATAGCTCCCAAACTCGGGGTAGTCTGTCTGCCCACTTTAGTCTGTACGAGTTTTTTAGCGTTTGAATTAATCTAAAAGAGACCACGTTCTGCGTTCTGATTGGCCGGTACCAGTGACTAAAAGAATCCGAGCGTCGAACGCGCTCGTTACTATACGTCAGGGCTGTCCAAACTATATACCCTCACGAGCTAATTAACATAACATAACATCACGCCTTTTTATTCTCGAAGCCAGGTAGGCAGAAGTGCACATTTCGGCACTTAATGCAACTGTACAATGTAACACCCACTTTTCACTATTTATGTTACGAGTCCCATGTAATAGGGGGTGGGCCTATTGCCATATACCGGGCACATTTCCAGACTCTGTGCTACTACTGAGATTTTTAAAAACCCAGTAATACTTTGCCCGACTCGCACTCGCGACCACTCGGCCAACGAGCTAATTAAATTTCTTACAAAAAGTGGGGGGCCAGAGAAATATTTTCAGTTGTATAATGACGTTTAACATTGTATTCTTTACTCACAAACAAAATTTGTATACAAAATTATACACTGAATTATATTATTGTTGTTACACTTAACATGAAGATGTTGAGATTAAAATGTATGTCGCAGGCCACATGAGAACAAGCCGGCCTTAATTTAGACAGCCCTGGGTGCTTACTCTTGAAACCAATCACAATGTCAATGCAATTTCAATCCAATAAAGACTCAATAATTATTCAATGTCAAAACTATACAACCCCTATCGTAGCTGTCAAAATAGCATTCAGAGTACGGAATATAAAGCCGAACTCAATACCATTTAGTTCATTCAATATCCACGCAATACGGATGCAATGGGCGCTAGTGTTGCAACTCAAGAGTACGAAATTTTACAATATCAATATCGATCGATCGGAATTGGATTCAAGAGTAAGCCCCCTGCTTATGCCGGAATACTGAAACGTTACTCAATTTTAAGTCGTGCTCAAATATCGTGCCATCTCTGTCATTTTACAAAGAATTTGTAGAGATAGAACTATACTTAAGCACGACTTAAAATTGAGTAGCGTTTTAGTATTCCGGTATATAAGTTAGGAATGCGATAGTTATTCGTGTTTGGCATTCTGATTCGGCTAGCTATAATGAATCAACCAATGAAAGCGTCGAACGCGGTGTCATTGCAATTACTTTAAAACGAAAATCTAACTCGTTCGAAGACCTCGTGTCATATATACAATGTAACACTTAACTATTTATGTTATGAGTCCCATGTAATAGGGGGGTGAGTCTATATCGCAGACTTTACTTGCAATTTGCAAGTCCAATTTTTATTTAATGTTTACTGAATAAAATACAATTTCAGTTTTACTTATGTGTAACTTAGGACTAATATTGTAATTGGGGGAAAATTTTCTGAGAATAATTATCGGGAATCGAACTATGAGAATTTTTTACTAATATGTCTTATAACTGTCTTATTTAGTTATACCGGAAAACTGAACCGTTATTCAATTTTAAGTAGTACTTAAATATCGTGCCATCTGTGTCATTTTACATAGAATTTGAGAACAATAATTAAGCGCGACTTAAAATTGAGTAACGTTTCAGTATTCCGGCATTAGACAGGCAGAGTAGAATACATTTGTCAACACCGCTACTCTTCCCGCGGGTGTCGTATACCCGACTAAGGGACTACACATTAGACAGAGACCGGGCAGCAACGCTCTCTGACAATCCAGTGCTTTTAGCCAAACGCCACTTTAGCGCTTGTCTACAGAGAGAGTAGAAATCAAAATGTATGGGGATGACACTGACAAGTGTCAAAATTTACGTCAATTCCATATAATTTGGTTTTCTATTTGACATGTAGACAAGCGCTAAATGGCATTTGGCTACAACTGCTCTATTTTATACTGAGGTCTCCAACCCGCATGTAGAGATGATGGCAAACCCCTCTTATGTAGAGGAGGCTCATAGTCTAGTCTAGCAGTGGAGTTGATGATATTTTAATCAACCGAGTATTATTCTCAAAATCCAAATCCCCATAGTGGTCACGAAACTAAAAAAGAGAAAAGAAAAACGGACGAAAATAACCTAAAATACTTAAATAAGTTAAACTTATTCGTACGTTATGGTCAACCATAGAGTCAAAGGAGGTTCGTAGTTTCAAAAAAAAAAAAAACTTAAAAAAGTAACGAGTTGACGTTTACTAATCTATGATTTTGTTGTTTTTTTTTTATTTTATTTTATTTATTTATTTATTATTTAAAAAAATGAATGACTAGATCCATGTGTATGAGATCTTTTCGACTACGTTTGTTTTCCTTTGACGTTTTGACTTAATGGGGTAGACAGAGATATAGTTCTTTTTATTAAAAAGGTACTTTCTGTTGGTTAAAAATTGGTATTTGGGGCTTCAACCTCGCTAGTCAAGAATTTTATTAATGGGACAACCCCGCCACAAACTCCCTAATCCGCTGCAACTCCTGTAAGCCAGGATCTACAGTAGATACAACCATGAAAACACCAGAACACTGTCGGCGCGTCCCAGAGACATGAATAACTGTCTTGGTTCCCGCAACGAAGTGAATCAGAGGATAATATAAGAGGAGAAGAAGAATTTTTCTCGGTGAATTACTGCAGGAGACAGAGTGAATTAAGCCTATAGGCACAAAAAAGAGACTGTACAACTGGGTGAAGCCCAGTCGCCAAGCACCACGGAAATTTGACTAAAAACTAAGTGGGTCCTATGTGTGAGCTGTTATACTTGCTTCCAATAATAGGTATTTCCGTTATTATACAATGTGAAAATATGTGATTTTGCGTGTTTTTTTTAAGGGGGGAGAATCATCGAATGGCTGCTCCCGCCTGGGTGAGGCGGGAGGGAGTGTCAGACTCTTACTGACTAAAAACCACCCCGTTCCTTCTCCTGCACGTCGAGCCGGAGCCCCGGTTACCCGTTAGGTTCTCCGCGACGAGTTTGAGTTTGTTACTGTTGGTACTCAGACACATCATTACAAATAAGGTTTTATTTTCATACTCTATTTGTACGAGATAAAAGTATCCATGTTTAATACAAAGCTATTATTGAGTTGTCAAATCGTATTTTTTGTACCTTTATTTGTTTAAGAGCCTATATCTCTGCCGACCCCGTATTTAGGTAGTATGTACATATAATTATTGCTTTGTGAATATGTAGTTAACGACGTGGGTTCCGCGCGTCCGGGTGTGGTCGTCGCTGTGGGTTCAGTACTGGAAAATATAACAAAAATTATTTGAAGTTACTCTTTACAAGGACTTTTTATGAGTCGCGGATACATTAATGAACGCATAACGCATTTTGAACAGGACTTTAAACTACACCAGCGCCACCTACTTATACTAAAAAAGTTTTTATATACAAACCTGGATGTACTGCTCCAGGTGAACGTCGACACCACGTCCCAGGTGTCATCTGTAACACAAGATTTCAAATAAGTAAAACACTTTTTTAAACGTTGCCCCACACTAGTATTATCTCCTATGTCGTGGGTGCGTTTACAAACATACAAGTTCACATACACATGACACACAGACACGGAACAACAGTTTGTGGATCACACAAAGAGTTGTTCCGTGCGGGAATCAAACCCGCGACACGTTGCACGGCAGCCGGTTGTCCAGCCACCGCACCAACCGTGCAGTCAAATTAAAATCAGTCATCTACCATGTGATACGAATACGAACAACAACGTACCTGTCTGAATAAATAAGGCTGTCTATAAACAGGCACGTTGACGTTGAGTCCCCTATTCCTAGCGTCGTATCGCTCCCCCACTGGTCCGTCGCCGGGCCTGTCCTTGTCTACGGTCTTATTGTCCTCTCTGTCACGACGCCGGAACTCCGGCCTCTCTTGTTTGTGGTCGAAGCGTTGGTAGTCGCGACGATTGTCTTGGTGATCTGTGTACAGAAAAATATGTGCTGAAGTTGTTTTTAGTACTCGTCGAGTACCGGTTTTGTGGACACAATTATAGAACAATAGGTTGCGGTCACCGGTGACCGCTTGGTGTTTGACAGTTTACCGATTTCAAATAGGTGGTTCTCATTTTGACCTATATGAATGTATCTATGTTGTTAGTACGCGATTATCTCTCGATTGCTGCCTCGTCGGCCGAGTGGTCGCAAGTGCGACTGCCGAGCAGAGTATTACTGGGTTTTTAAAAATTCTCAGTAGTAGCACGGAGTCTGGAACTGTGCCCGGTATATGGCAATAGGCTCACCCCCTATTACATGGGACTTATAACATAAATAGTGAAAAGTGGGTGTTACATTGCACAGTGGCATAATGTCCTTCGGGGATAAAAGGCGTGATGTTATGTATATGTTTTATCTTGCGATTGACTAAACCGATTATGATGTGGTTTTCAGAAAGTGTTTGTTACAATTAAGAGGAGGTTTTAGTATATTAATTAACCGACTTCAAAAAAGACAGCGTTGAAGTCGGTTATTATATTATTAATTTTTATTATTATTATTATTTTATTATTTATTATACTATTAATAACGTATTATCATGAAAGAATTATTTATGTTGGGACTAAAATGAAGAAAGGTAATTTGAAATCTGACTTTCTCTAGACCTAGTAGTAAGTTTTCAAAATCATTATCGTAATAACATAATATATTATGTCACATAACGTAAAAAATGTTTTTTTTTTTGTAAGAATCGTAGCAATAGGGTAGTTTCCTAAATTTTAATGATCGTCTGGTACATTAATTGAAAGCATTAGACACGTATTTTTTTCTTTTCTCACAAAATTAAATACTTTCGAAGACATATCGATTTAAAATATCGTGTGACGTCACGACGTCCTACTCCTAAACTTAGCGCCATTTTATCTAAGTATTGCAACTTAATACGAGATAATAAAAAATACGTGTCTAATATTTTTTAATTATCTAACTGACGGACTAATTAGATTTTTAATTATGATACCCTGGAAACTACCCAATTGGCGGTCCATAGTTTCTGCCTACCCCCATGGGAGACAGGCGTGAAGCTATGTACCTATGTATAAAGATGTAGTACATAAATACTTACATGTATTTTTGGCTTGCATACTCCGGATAGAGTCGACGATGGCGCGCGCCGCCGAGCTCAGGTGTCTGTCGTCAGTACCACCGCGTCTGAGCATAAAACAAAAACACATTTATCTATCTATAATCTATAACTATCTATTATATTACTAACTTCTTCTAGCCCGCGACTTCGTACGCGCAATTCCGTGTTTCCCGTTTCCATAGGATTTTTGGGTAATCCTAGGATAAAAAATCCATCTCCTATACTCGGAATTTTAATTCGATTCCAGATTTGACAATTTCAGTGTTGCAACGTTATGACAAGTACTAAATAGTGACGTTGCGAAATTATTCGATATGGAAATGCAATATTTCTGGATCGATTCTTCTTGTTTATAATTTTACTCTTTTGAAATTGGTATATCATGAAATTAAATATTTCTGAACCGATCATTTTGTTTTGACTATTAATTAACGATCTGAGACTTTTCTTTTATAATTGTGTGTGAAATAAATAAAAAAATGTAATCATGAAGTTATTTTATAAATTGTCGCCGTCATCGCTATCGCTATCCTGTCACTTTCTGTAACATTTGTTATAAAACACACACACTGATTATTTATCGATTTTTGTGTTCATCACTACACTATTATATGTGGTATCATTATTTCACAAAATGACAGTAGCTATTGTCAAATCTGGAATCTAATTAAAATTCTGACTATAGGTCTAAGGCTTCCTCCCCACCGATTTTCACCCGAAACGATTTAGCCGTTTTTAATCAAACAATGACACAATCAACTTTGGGACCGGTATCTGTAGTAGGCAAAACCTGTATCACAGATCACCAGGCCGACAGCACCTAACCCTCGTCGCAGTGCATCACTTACTAAATTGCATGTAATATTGATGTTTAAGAATAATAGGGTAGTTTCCTAAATTTTATTTTAATGTCCGTCTGGTACATTAATTTAAAACTTTATATACGTATTTTTTCTTTTCTGACAAAATTAAATACTTTCGACGATATATTAATTGAAATATCGTGTGACGTCACAGCGTGCCACATTTTGTAGTACGTTATGACGTAACGACCTCCCACTCCTAAACTTAGCGCCATTTTATCCAAGTATTGCAACGTAATACGACAAAATAAAAAAATACGTGTCTAATAATTTCTTTCATTATCTAACTGACGGACTAATTAGATTTTTAATTTTCTTACCCTGGAAACTACCCTATTATAATAATAAACTTACACGATTAAGATATAAAACTGAAGATATTGTCTGTTTGAACGCGCAAATCTCCGGTACTACTGGACCAATTGAATAATTCTTTTTGTGTTGGATAGTGCATTTATTGAGGATACGGATACGTGCATATATAGCTAGTTAATAAATAAAAAGGATAGATGTTTGAACAATAAAAAATATATAAAAATATTAGTATGTAGTATCGGTATGTATACAGTCATATTAGTATGTAGTATTGGTATGTAGTTTATGTACTAGGATACCTTTATACATATGTACGTACATTTATCACCCTCGTTTTTATTTTTTTTCGATAGATGCAAACTTCTTTTAAAACCTACTGTAACACTTCTCTGCATTACCCTGTGGTTGGCTGGTAGAGAATGCCATTCGGCATTAAGTCCGCCATTGTATACAGTTGTATATAAAGTGGTAAATAAATAAATAAAAATAAAAAATATAACTCACCCAAAAACCCGTCCATTATAGTTAGTAACGGGACAGTTACCCAACAGTCCGTTCCCGTTATTCCTGCGCCGATAATCCTCGCGTTTCCTATAATCCCTTTCCTTTCCGTCTTTAGTGTTTAATTGGGCCATCTGAGTCTTGATTTGCTGTATTTTGGCTGCAATTTCGGAATTTTGTCTAGATTTTTTCTCGTCCTCCGCTAGTTTTTCGTCCTGGAACGGCGTCTGGCAGGCTGAGTTTGATATTGAATTGTGCATAGAGTTGTGTATAGAGTTATGTTTGGAGTTGCGCTGTTCAGGCTGTTTCTCTATGACTGGGTACATTGGTTGGCATATCGGGTAAGGCTGTTGGATCACCTGGAACATATAATTAGCCCAAATGATATTAAACTGTTTCTCTGATTTTTAAAAAAGACGTTGCCCCACTCTAGGATTTTCCTCCTGTGTCGTGTGTACGTTTACAAACATACAAGTTCACATACACATGACACCCAGACACGGAACAACAATTTGTGGGTCAAACAAAGAGTTGTTCCGAGCGGGAATCGACCCCGCCGTCACGGCAAGTCATGTTATGAATACGATTATATTATATTAAAACTTTCGTAAGACATACTAAATTAATTATCATGTTTTCGGCTTCCATATGTAACTGCAGTAGTGGCAGCGCGAAAGTCGCCGCGTCGGTCGCGGAATGCTGCTCATGAATATGAGCCCCTAGTATGGCTTGAAACTAGTCGAGTTCCTTGTCTAAAAGTTACGCAAGCCGAAAACATAATAATTAATGAAAATTGTTATTTCTTCGTCTTTTAAGTCTTGAATAAAGAAATGCATGAATGAATTTAGATTATAATTTATAGTGTTTTATACATGTCTATTTACGAAAAAGAAGGCGGAAAATTGAAGTGATAATAAATGTAAGATATAAACAGTAGAAAAGAGCACTGGAGTTTCTTGCTCGTTCATCTACATAGGAATCTATACCTTAGAACGAGCAAATAACTTCACTAGAGGACTGACTGACAGACTTGACTTTTTTTAAATATTTTAATATTTTGTTTTGGAATTCAAAAGTGCCTTCCTGGTCTAACTGAAGTAAATGATTTTGACTTCTTTTGACGATTTTGATACAGGAGTTTGTTTTAATGTTTCTAGTCTTGTTCATAAAATTTATTTTTTTAAAACTCCTTCAATCTTCCTTGTGCGTCCTGCAAAGGAGTGGAATTCTTTGTCAGTCCGCATTTCCTGAAGGGTATAACCTGAAGCCTAATTACCCTCCCATCCCTCCCCAATCCCCGAATACCCAACAATCCTCAAATTCCCAATCCCGGTAACGCAATTGAATGCCTCTGTTGTTTCGAGTGTCCATGGGCGACGTCGATTGCTTACTATACCATGATCCGTCAGCTCGTTTACCGGCATATACCATAAAAGCTAGTATAACTGACCTGCGGGTAGAGTATGTTGTAGTGCGGGTACGAGTGCGGCGGGTACTGCACGCACTGCAGCGGGTACAGCTCCGGCACGCACACCTTGGGGGGCGCCACCGGACCCCCCGCGGGGGGGACCTGCCACGGGACATGCTCTTGGTATTGCTGAGGAGAATAATAATAATTTCATTATGAATATAACGTAAATAGTGAAAAGTGGGTGTTACATTGTACAGTGGCATTAAGTGCTGTAATGCGCACCTCTGCCTACCCCTTCAGAGATAAAAGGCGTGATGTTATGTGTTAATTATTATTACTACTGAGATTGCTTTATAGATACTAGATAGTAATATATGGCTGTCGCTATTTATCATTGTTTCAAATAATAATGTTTGTTGTTCGACTTTTCAAATAGGGTACTTGCCAACTAGTCAAATTCAATACCTTTTTCTATGAATTTTATACGAGATTGTGTATTGTGACGTCACGTTTTTATAGCGTCAAACAGCATACTCATTTTTTTAAAAATAGCTAGAAAAAAACTAAAATTGAGTTGGTCCTATACTTAACTACTGAAAGTGTGATTATTTTTTAATATTGGATTGTATTGGACAGTCGAAATTATTTATTTTTAATTAAGGAAAGTACCCAATTATGATAGTATCTATAATGACATATAATATTTGTGACGTGAACTGACCGGGTATGGTTGTAGATGTGTCTGCGGCAGGACGACGTTCCCGAGGGCCGGGTAGTGCGGGGGCAGCGCCGGGACCTCCATCTGGCCGTACGGGACGCTGTAACTGTTAAAAGTTATCTATTAAAACAAGAAGATGGGATAAAATGAATTGCGTAAAGACCATGCATTTTAAAATCATTTTCAAATTGTTATCGTAATGTTTATATATATAAAAAAATGAAACCTGTATCCCGTTGTCACGCCATAACTTGAGAACGGCTAGACTGATTTGGTAGATTTTTTTGTTTTATTTATTATCGTCAGGAGAAGGTTCATATTACAGAAAAGGTCCTGAAAATCCTACGGGAACGGGAGAAAACGGGATTGCGCGTACGAAGTCGCGGGCAGAAGCTAGTATATGAATATATAAACCATGCTTCGGCACTGCAGTGTCGGCTCGACCGAGTGATACCAACGAGCTGTACACTATACTGACATACAGTCGTGGGACTGACGGCAATTGAGGCACAATTATCCCCTTTTCAATGTCCCCAATCCTCGACAATCCTCAAATTCGTAATCTTCAAAAGGCCGGGGTTATTAATCTTGAGGACTGTTGGGGATTCGGGGATTGAGGAAATTGTGGAGAGGAGTATAGTATTGTATTGTATTGTATTGTGTTATGAGAGAAAGGTGTGGATTGAAAGATGATGTAGTGACAAGGATTGAAAAGGGAATGTTACTCTGGTTTGGACATGTAGAAAGGATGAATGAAAGTAGAGTAACGAAGGAAGTATACAGAGCGGATATGAATGGGGCCGTCGGTAGAGGGCGCCCTAGACGGACATATAGTGACCAGATTGGCGATATATTAAAGAAGGGCCAAATTAAAAGTACCCTTAACCGACGAGCATGCATGAAAAGATTGATGACTGTTAATGAAGCGAAAGAGGTATGTAAGAATCGTAGTAATTGGCGTTCCTTAGTCTCTGCCTACCCCCATGGGAGACAGGCGTGAAGTTATGTATGTATGTAGTAATTGTTCCTTCACTGCCCTCACCCGCTGTGTGTCAGTATGGTGTCCAGCTCGTTGGTACCACTCCGGTCGAGCTGGTCCATTCGTGCCGAAGCATGGCTCTCCCACACTTATCACACGTATGGTCATTACTTCAGGTTGTCGTGGAACAGCGAAACTTCGCAACTATTATAGTGGTATAAGTGCTAATTTTAAAAGAGTAACGAATGGAGTTTCTTGCTCGTTCTTCTCCACTCGAATCGACATTTTGGAACGAGCACCTAGCTTCACTGACGGACAGACTGACAGACTATTATATATCTCATATTTGTTGACGTTTCAAAAGTACCAAATTATGGTTTAATTGAAATAAATAAATGCTTTTGAGTTTGAGTTTGAAATGTAAGTGTGTATGTAAAGTCTTTAATTATATTACTTAATATCATAATAAACTCAGTTATGAAGCATCTCTCGTGTGTTTAACTCGTGTCCCTAACAGTGACCGTACACTATATCAAAATGTCCAATACATACCTCCGTTGCATGGATGTATCGACACAGGCCCCGCACCCCGTGTAGTCCACTGCCGCGTACGGATAGCTCGGGTCTGACACACGCAACGATAACAAATCATTTTAAAATTATTACAAAATATTAAATATAATACAGTCTCGGGTTCGATTCCCGAGTCGGGCAAAGTATTACTGGGTTTTTTCAAAAAAAATCTCAGCAGTAGCACGGAGTCTGGAATTGTGCCCGGTAAAAGGCAATAGGCCCCTATTACATGGGAGTCATAACATGAATATTGAAAAGTAGGTGTTACATTGTACAGTGGCATTAACTCGTCGAGTATCGTCATTATAGACACAATTATAGAACAATAGGTTGCGGTCACCGGTGACCGCTTGGTGTTTGACAGTTTAAGTGCCGTAATGTACACCTCTGCCTACCGCTTCGGGGATAAAAGGCGTGATGTTATGTTGTGTTACAAAATATCTTGTCTTCGGTAGGGCTTAATTAACCTCTTGAGTGTCGGTATTTGAGACACAATAGAAAAAACATTGTGTCTCGCGTAGATATACATTCCGGCATACCACGGGTTAATAGACTAGAGTGGGTATGTCATTAAGGCTATGTTTGACTAGATTTGAGGCCTTAGTACTAGTTTTTTTTACGTTGACAGTAATCAAACCGAGACCGTGTTCCGCGCTCTGATTGGCCGGCTTCAATGAACCAATCAATCAGAACGCTGAACGCAGTATCGTTTTAAGTTTAATGATTGTTTATTCACTCATAAAAAACATGGTTCACTTACAATGAGCTTAAATGACTATTTATAGCTATGTATACAGAGTCATGACCAAACGGTGTTAATAAATATTTTCAGATACATATTTTCTTAAGCTATTTTTGAACATGGCAATCGACTGACATTCCTTAATATTATTTGGCAAATTATTATACAATTGTGCTCCCTCATATGTTATACATTTTTACCGTAATTTGTTTTGTGCCTTTGTAGTTTAATTTTGTTTGCATTTCTCAAGGAATGATAACTTGATCTCAGATTGTATTTGACCCGTTAGTATTTTTCTCACCAGCAAGCACACATTGTAAGTGTAGGTCTGTTGCAAGTTAAATTTTATATATTATATAAAAAAGTTTTACGCATAAAACTGTCGGTATCGTAGTAAATATTGTAAATAAATAACAAATCTCACCGATTCTGAAAGCAGTTTCGTTGGTATGCGGTGAGGGCGCAAGTTTCTGTTCCTCTGGCGGGAGTACTGGCGGGTACATCTGCAGAGACGGCTCCTGGAGACACAATGTGTATTGAACTCCTAATCCCCAAAAGGCTGGTAACGCACTTGTAGCGCGTCTAGTGTTTCAGGTTTCACTATAGGCGACATATTTTTTTTTTAAGGGGGGAAAATCTTCGAATGACTGCTCCCGCCTGGGTGAGGCGGGAGGGAGTGTCAGACTCTTACTGACTAAAAACCACCCCGTTCCTTCTCCTGCACGTCGAGCCGGAGCCCCGGTTACCCGTTAGGTTCTCCGCGACTACAGGCGACATATAGGTTCACCCTCTATTACATGGGACTCATAACATAAATAGTGAAAAGTGGGTGTTACATTGTACAGTGGCATTAAGTGTCGTCATATGCAGTTCTGTTTACCTCTTCGGGGATAAAAGGTGATGTTATGTTATGTTATGTTATAAAATGTGTGAGAGCCATGCTTCGGCACGAATGGGCCAGCTCGACCGGAGTGATACCACGGCCGAGCAGAAAACCGACGTGAAGCAACGCTTGCGCTGTGTTTCGTCGTGTGAGTGAGGTTACTGGAGGCCCAATTACCCTCCCCTTCCCCAATCTCCCCAATTCCCGAAACCCCAACGATCCTCAAACTCCTAATCCCCAAAAAGCCGGTAACGCACTTGTGACGCCTCTGGTGTTCCAGGTGTCCATGGGCGGTGCCGATTGCTTACCATCCGGTGATCCGCCGGCTCGTTTACCGGCTTATGCTATAAAAAAATTTCAATACTTACCACCCTGCACGGGTACGGGTACGGTTGTGGTATCGGCGCCTGGTACACCATGTTACTCATATTGGATAGCGGCATCGCTCCTGTCAAACGGTATTAATAAAACAATCAATTATTATTAATGACTGCCTCGTTGGCCGAGTGGTCGCGAGTGCGACTGCCTTGCAAGGGGACTCAGGTTCGATTCCCGGGTCGAGAAAGTATTACTGGGTTTTAAAAAATAAATCTCAGTAGTAGCACGGAGTCTGGAAATGTGCCCGGTATATGGCAATAGGCTCACCCCCTATTACATAGGACTCATAACATAAATAGTGGAAAGTGGGTGTTACTTCTGTGTGCACCTCTGCCTACCCCTTCGGGGATAAAAGGCGTGATGTTATGTTATGTTAAATTATTAATAGGAGCCGAGCAGAGCGTGTGATACCGCGCAGAAATAGTTAATTATTAATAAATATAATAACACTAGCTGACAGGGCAAAATTAGTTCCGCCTAAATCTTTTTCTCACCTTTTAAACCTTCCCTGGACTTCAAAACAATTCAAGACCAAAATTATCCAAGTCGGTTCAGCCGTTCTCGAGTTCTTGCGAGACTAACAAACGGCAATTCATCTTATCTTATACTATTATATAAAGCGGAAGAGTATGTCTTTTGTTTGTTTGTTTGAACGCGCTAATCTCCGTAACTACAAGTCTGATTTGAATAATTCTTTTGTGTTGGATAGCGCATTTATCGAGGTTGGCTATAGGCTATAAAACATCACGCTACGACCAATAGGAGCTGAGCAGAGCGTGTTAAACCGCGCGGAAGTATATTCGAAATTTTAATTCGATTCCAGATTTGACAATTTCAGTGTTGCAACGTTATGACAAGTACTAAATAGTGACGTTGCGAAATTATTCGATACGGTAATGCAATATTTCTGGATCGATTCTTCTCGTTTATAATTTTACTCTCGTAAACTAAGTATATCAGGAAATTAAATATTTCTGAACGAATAATTTAGTTTTGACGATTAATTAACGATCTGAGACTTTTCTTTTATAATTGTGCGTGAAATAAATAAAAAAATGTAATCATGAAGGAACATCACAAATAAAACAGATAGATGTATTATGGTAATAAGTTGTTTTATAAATTGTCGCCGTCATCGCTATCGCTATCGCTGTCACTTTCTGTAACATTTATTATACAACACACACACTGATTGTTCATCGATTTTTGTGTTCATCACTACACTATTATATGAGGTATCATTATTTGACAAAATGACAGTAGCTATTGTCAAATCTGGACTCTAATTAAAATTCTGACTATAGCTAGTTTTTATATATATATAGATAATACTCACGCATATTGGGGTCGTGTAGCGGCATGGGTTGCATCTTATGTTGCATCACTTGCATGTTGACCTCGTGGGACACGTAGTGGTTGCCCATCTGCGGGGATGTTAGCTGGGGATTTGTGAATAACGGGGATTAATAATTTAAGACATTTTCGTGATCATGAGCTAGATTTGTTTCGGTATTGAAATATTGGTATGGTTTGTCAAATTTTCTAGATTTTGTTTTAATAAAATCATAATTGCACGACAAGCGCTTGGCAAAACTTTAAGTAGAGGTATATTCTGGATTTTGATAGATTTCATGGTTTATCAAATTTTGTTTTAAGAAAATACAATTGCCTAACAAGTGACTGACTTGGCAAAATTTTGAGTATCTTATGGGAATCGAACCCGAGACCAAATACTTGACAGTTCCATACATTTTTACATCCGAATATTTATGCCTTAAGCGTGTTAGCAGATACGTTCATATTAAACGTAACATATACTTTATAAGAGCTACTTACCTATGTGTGATTTCAATGTGATAAAAGACAGTCAACACTTTGCCCGGCCCAGGAATCGAACCTGAGATCCTCTACAGTCGGACTTGTAACCATTTCACCAACAAGACAATCTTTTTATCTAAACGTACAGAGAAATATAATACAGTGAAACTTGGTTAAGTGGGACCTGGATAAGTGAGAAACCTCCATAACTGGAACTCATGCTGAGGTCCCAACACTTTGGCACTGAATTACCTCTGTTAGTGGGACGAGGTAAACCTCTATATCTGGGATTTTTTCTTTCGATTTATCATCATAGCTACCTCTATAATTGAGACAGCGAGTAAATTTTATATGCATAAACCTCTGTAACTGAGATAACATTGTTTGTTTACTCATTCTTATTCTACCCACAAATTCCACACGTAATTCCAAGTCCACCTCTATTAATGGAACCCTCTGTAAATGAGACAGATATTTATTTATACCTGTGTATCTGTGACACTGGGTAAGTGGAATACCTCTATAAGTGAAACGACATTGCATGTCCCTCGATGTCTCACTTAACCAGGTTTCACTGTATTTAATAATTCTTATTATTAATTTTTACTCACCTCATCAGTTCTATACCCTTGATACTGCGCATATTGCATTTCATGTCCCTCATGGGTCAATTTCACAGGTCGATTATTCAACACATTGCTATGAGCGTTCTGATTGGCCGTTTCAAACGTTCGTGGCGGTTCATAAACTTTGTGATTGGTTGGTTCGAATACTGGCTGCTGACTGGCTGGCTCGTATGTTTCTGGTTGCTGATTGGTCGGTTCGTGTTGTGTTTCTTGTGTATTTGTGCTTGTTTGTGTGTTCGTTTCTATTGGTGTTGCTGGTTTGGGGATCGGTTCCTGGTTGGGAAAAAATATTTTTAATGGGATGATATTGCAAAAAATTATTGATTTAGAAAATTTCGTTGATAACCTTGATTAGAAATCATAATTGTTATCAATAATTATGAAATTTAACCCAGATTAAGCTTCCTAAAGTTTATAATTTACATTTTTAAATGTTCCCACATTTAAAAATGAAACTAAAAATTAAGTGTGGGTGAGCCATGCTTCGGCACTGCTAGGCCGGCTCGACCGGAGTGATACCACGGCCGAGCAGAAAACCATAGAGAAACAACGCATGCGTTGTGTTTCGCCGTGTGACTGAGGCTACCGGAGGCCCAATTACTCCCCTCCCCAATCCTCAAATTCCTAATCCCCAAAAGGCCGGTAACTCACTTGTAACGCCTCTAGTGTTCCAGATGTCCATGGGCGACGCCGATTGCTTACCATCAGGTGATCAGTCTGCTTGTTACCGGCTTATCCCATACAAAAAATGACAGTAGAATACAAAACAATGAATACAACAAAATTTTCTAAAACAATATTTTGAAATAAGATCTTATTATAATGTTTATTTCTATATCTATTCGGACTTATTATCGGCGGTTTTTACAAAATAGAGTTCTGCTAAATGAATATAACATAACATCACACCTTTTAGCCCCGAAGGGGTAGACAGAGGTGTACATTACGGCACTTAATACCACTGTACAATGTAACACCCACTTTTCACGATTTATGTTATGAGTCCCATGTAATAGGGGGTGAGCCTATTGCCATATACCGGGCACAATTCCAGACGCCGTGCTACTACTGAGGTTTTTTACAAACCCAGTAATACTTTGCTCGGCCCGGGAATCCGAGACCCCTTGCCCGGCAATTGCAATTGCGACCGCTCGGCGAATGAGGCAGTCCGCTAAATGAACTAGATAAAAAAATCATTTTCAAGTAGAAATAACAAGTTTTATATTAAAAACTATCCGGGTAATCTTTGTATAATAAATATACTAAATCCGGGTATCGTACACCCCTTACCTTATCTCCAGCAGTGTTTCCTTGACTCGCGTCTTGCCGGCGACACTCGCAACAACATTTCCCGCGACATTCCTCGCTCGGCTGGCAATCGCAATCTAAACGAAATGTATACTTTAATTATATGAATAGAGGATTGCTTTTACAATGGATTAGTTAAAAAGATTATCATTGTACATTTATTCTGATTACACAGGACGCGAAACATCTCATTTAAGTAAAACAACAAAGTTCTGAGGCCTTTTTTTTTATTTTAAGGGGGGAAAATCATCGAATGACTGCTCCCGCCTGGGTGAGGCGGGAGGGAGTGTCAGACTCTTACTGACTAAAAACCACCCCGTTCCTTCTCCTGCACGTCGAGCCGGAGCCCCGGTTACCCGTTAGGTTCTCCGCGACTCCGAATCGGCATCGGCCCTATTGGCCCCCATCTGTGGTGGTCTGATGGCTCTTTGAGGCGCGCGCGGAACGCTCGGCGCCGTACGCTCGGGTCTGTTTCTGGTCGGACGGGGAGCCACCCATGCTCGCCGTCCGCAGGCCCGCGCTTACGGTGGTCGGAGATCGTAAGTTCTTAGTACGAGTTTGATGTATGTTTAAAGTATTCGAAACGAGACCGCGTTCGGCACTATGATTGGCCGGCTCCTATGAACCAACCAATCAGGAGCCTTAGTAGTATTAGTTTAAAGTAATCGTAACGAGTACGCGTTCGGCGCTGTGATTGGTTGATTTATTGGCGCTGGCCAATCAGAGTGCGCAACGCGTACTCGTTTCTATTACTTAAAACGTAAAACAAATTCGTACTTAGGCCTCTGTACCAGCTTTAGGACGCTTCAATTGTGTACTTGCCAACTAGTCAAATTCAATACTTTTTTCGAACTGTCAAAAACGACAGTTCTCTATGAATTTTGTACGAGATTGTGTATCGTGACGTCACGTATTTTTAGCGGCAAACAGCATACTTATACTTAAATGAAGTTGGTCATAACAGCGATTAATGAAAGTGTAATTATTTATTATATTTTATTGTATTGAACAGTCGAAATAATTAATTTTTGATTAACACGTTAACGTCGTCGTAGGTCAACGTCACCGGTGACCTACGACCTATCAGTCCTATTCATGCAAAATTTGAGGTAAATCCGTGCAGTATTTTATGAGTTTCTCCCGGACAGACATACAGACAAACAGACAAAAATTCTAAAATCCATATTTTTAGCTTCGGTATCGACTGTAGATCATACCTCAAGCATTCTTTAAAAAAAATATATTCAATGTACAGTTTTCACTTTCTTACGATTTTATTGGTATTAAAACCTGTCATAGTTTGTAAGATTTTCTTATTCTTATTGTTTGTTTTATTTACGGAATGTTCTGTTTTGTTTTTTTTTCGATTATAATTATTTGAAATGTATAACACCTTGGTTTTATGACTGTAATGTTATATTATTTAATTGAAATAAATAAATTATATCTTATACTATTATACAAAGCGAAAGAGTTTCGTTTTTTATTTGTTTGTTTGAGCGCGCTAATCTCCGTAACTACAAGTCTGATTTAAATAATTATTTTTGTATTGAGGATGGCTATAAACTATAAAACATCACGCTATGACCAATAGGAGCTGAGCAGAGCGTGTGAAACCGTAATATGTATAGATATAGATAAAAGTATAGACAAATAATTTACATAAGGTAAGTTACCGTTATCAATAAATGAATGTTGTTTCTCCAATCTACCGCGACGCTTCTCGTTGCTTGAATCCATCTGTAAAACAAAATGAGGTGATGATGAGGCCCAATTATACCCCTAATGTCCATAATCACTGAATCCCCAACAATTCTCAAATTCCTAATCTCCAAAAAGCCGGTAACGCACTTGTACCGCGGCTGATGTCCCGCGTGTCCATGGGCGACGCCGATTGCTTACCATCAGGTGATACGACTGCTCTTGTATATCGGCTTATCCCATAAAGAAAATGAGACGGTTACTATTTATAAGTAAGAATATAATATTTTACATATTATTCCATAATATTTACCTTGGAATATAAAAAACACTAATTAAAAACTTTTATAGCACAATCAACCCTTATAAAATAAGGGTTTTTAGAAAATCCCCAAAAAGCCGGTAACGCACTTGTAATGCCTTCTGGTGTACTAGGTGTCCATGGGCGACGCCGATTGCTTACCATCAGGTGATCCATCTGCTCGATTACCGGCTTATGCCATAAAAAAAACATTCACCTAAATGGAATTCAAACTCGCAGTCTCTGACTAACTAGCTAGGAATCGAACTGGACAATTTACTGTTCATGTTACTTCATCGTTATTTGTTTGAAATCTAAAATATTATTTAGAACTCACTTTCTGCTGGTCATCCTGTTCGATGCCCGGGTCGTACAACACGGGCGGGTTGGCCGGATCAAACTGGTATATTGATCCGTCCGGGTTGGTGAGTGGACGTCCCGTCTGAAACATTAAGCACATAAATAAATAATTGACTTGTTGAGACTATGTTTTGTGTATATATATTTCCGAGATAATTCTTTACGTTTGAAACATACATAACATTACGCCTTTTATTCCCGAAGGGGTAGGCAGAGGTGCACATTATGCCACTGGGCAATGAAACACCTACTTTTCATATTATGTTATGAGTCCGATGTAATAGGGGGTGAGCCTATTGCCTTATACAGGGCACAATTCCAGACTCCGTACTCGTAACTCTGTTGCCCGATCCGGGAATCGAACCCTTATATATTTTAGGTGCCATACAAACTACACTAAATTTTTTTATGGCACCTAGCAAACATAGTCTCTGTCTATTCCCATGGGGACAGGCGTGAAGTATTGTATGTATGTGTGAAGTGAATCCAGTATCGCCGCAGTACCTGCGGGTGTATGACCATGGCGCCGGGCGGCACGGCGGCCAGGTCCGTGACGCACCACACCACGCCCTCCGCGCCCGCACCGCCCGCACCGCCCGCACCGCCCGCACCGCCCGGCTCCGGGCTCGCGCCGCCTGACGGACAAACAGTACTTTATTTATATCTGATGGGCCCACGTGTGACCACTATCCCGCCTGGTGGGAAGCGATGATGCGGTCTACGATGGAGCACGTCGACCCATAAGCAACCTATTCACTCGGGCCTTGAAGACTTTAACTTACCAAGTATACAAAAAAGGACAACCACTTTTGTAACAATTATAATATAATCACATAAATTACACGTGAACTTTGTCATTTAAATCCAAAACATTTATTAAAACAAATATAAATGTATTAAGATAGATCAAATATTCAATTCAATTGTACCAATTTAATAAATTAATCTATATATATATGTATAAATAAAACCCGTTTCCCGATGTCACGCCATAAGTTAAGAACGGCTAGACCGATTTGGCTGATTTTTGTTGTTGTGTTTGTTATCGTTAGGAGAAGGTTCTTATGACAGAAAAAAGTCCTGAAAATCCTACGGGAACGGGAGAAACGGGATTGCACGTAGGAAGTCGCGGGCAGAAGCTAATATTTAATAAAAACTAATTTAAAACTCACTCTTTCGACATTATTATATCGTGGCATTGAATTTTACGAGTGACAACCGTGACTATTTTTTCAAACAAATGTGGATTATTTTAACTATGCGACTGTAAGTGGGTTTTACAATTATTATACCGACCAGTGGGCGAGGGTGTGACGGAGTCGGTGCTGCGCAGACTGAGCGTCTTGTAGCCCGAGCTGGACGGGGACAGGCGCCAGCTACTGGACGCTAGGTCACCTGGAATAGTCAAAGTCAAAGTTATTTATTGCAAACATAGGTAATTATAATACAGGATGAAGCATACATAATAATAGTGCGCTATGTTTCGCCTGTCGGCATGCAATTAAGAAAATATCATGATATTCTAATTAATATCATGCTTTATTTCAATACAAAACACACTTGAAACAAAAACATGTATAGAAATCTGTCTAGTACAAAGTAAAACCTTCCTACTCCTTTTCCGTTCATGCTGTGAGACTGTGGAATTCGCTCCCGCCTAACATGCGGGACGTTGAGTCTATCGCTATCTTTAAAAGACGTGTGTATGTATTTGTTTGGTTTTTTTAATCTGTTTAGTTTTAAGTCTGTTTCTTATCCCAATTTTCTATTTGTTACTACACACTGTTGTACTATATTATTATTACTTTTCCTGACCCAGGTCCACAGGAAGAAATTCCAAGAGGAATAAGTGGTACCTTTGTACTTTAGTTTTATATAAGTGTTGTCCTTAATGTTGTATGTGTGTACATAAATAATTAACAAAAAAAAAATTTGAATACCTATTTGATTGTTGTACTGTAAGATTTTTTTTTAAAAAAAAAACGTCGTCCCACACTGGGATTTCCTCCTGTGTCGTGGGTACGTTTACAAACATACAAGTTCACATACACATGACACCCAGACCCGAAACAATAATTTTTTTCACTTCTTTGGCAAACGAGTCTCCAACAACAATTTGTGGATCACACAAAGAGTTGCTACCTGTGGGAATGGAACCCGCTGCACGATGCGCGGCAGCCGCCGCGCCTACTGTCAAGTCAATTGTATTGTTGAAAATAAAATATATTTAACCTTAACAAATTAATGGGAAACAAAGTCCGAGTCGGAATATGACGTAACCTAGCTTCACTGACGGACAGACTGACAAACTATGATTTATTTTGTGTTTGTTGACGTTTCAAAAGTACCAAATTATGGTTTAATTGAAATAAATATTTGATTGATTTTGATGTCGTGGTGGCCCGGAGGTTTAAGACGCCCACTTCTCATGCATGAGGGTGCGGGTTCGAAACCTACCAACGGCAAGTACCAATGTGACTTTTTCCGAGTTATATGTACTTTCTAAGATTATTTAGACACCACTGACAAACGGTGAAGGAAAAACATCGTGAGGAAACCTGGACTTATAATTTCTAATTATAAGTTTGAAATCGCCAACCCGCATTGAGCAAGCGTGGTGATTAACGCTCTAACCTTCTCCGTGTGAGAAGAGGCTTTGCTCAGCAGTGGGCATTTATAGGCTGTTGATGATGATGATGATGATGATG